AACGCTGTGTGCAATACCAGCATTTCCCCCTCCTCACCGCTAAGGATATTGGAGGAGATGGTGGACCTCCAGTCTTTCCAGCTTTTACTGAGTCAGATAGATGTTCTATCAGTCCCTCTTCAGTCATTTCACTAGTCATACAGGTCTACTTCTGAAGGGAGAGTAGAGGTGAATTGTGCAGTGCTCTGACTGAGCTACACCACTTACAAGCAGAGTATAGCCAGGTTGGACCTGGGGATAATCTGGTTGATGTTTTTGCCTTGGTAAACAGGATGACTTCTGTATGTTGTTCTTCTGGTATACATGCCTTGCTTGGCATGCCCAAGTCCTACTTTAATGAAGTAATAGTTAACCAGGAGAGGAACTTGAAGATAAATTTCTTTCTTCCCAGTGTAGTTCTAGAGAGACTTTTGTCTTGGATATGAAATATCAACTTAATATTAATGGGGACTAACTGAATTCAGAGTAACTGATTTTTATTATTTTTTTTTTCCCCCCATCTCTTCCCGCCTGTCACCTCAATAACATGATCTATTTGATCTAAATATTCTAGCAGACCAGGTAGGGATTTTTCCTATTGGTAATTACCAGTTCAGCAAGGCATGTGGTTATATGATTTCTCAGGCATGTGGAAAGTGATGTAGTCTAGATGTAAGTAACTAATCAGAAAAAAAATTAGCTAAATATTAATGACATGAAATTGTATTTTACTCTGTGATTGTGTGCTAAAGCTCTAAATCTCTCATGATTTGACATTAGCGCTACATGTCAATTGTAAGCTGCCCTTGAAATATAATTACATAGCATAAAGGTAATTTCCACTTACTGTCACCAAAAATTGTATTTCAGCTGAGCGGTGCTGATCGATATCTACGTGGGGATTCATGTAGTAGATTCCGTTCTCTGGTATTAAATTTTTGCATCTATAACAAACTATCTCATTTTATCTCACATGTGCAAGAAATTGCTTATTAAGTTGACAACTGATTTATTAAAATGCAGGATAGAAGTTCAAATATGACCTTGTATTGGGTTGTTAAATCCAGGTGATATTTTCAGGAAAGTTTGTTTTGCAGAATTTCTTCTAACTTTATACTACTTCTTTATTATTTACAAGCCCCAGAGCATATAAGGACTCTTAGATGGGATAATTTCTACAAAGTATATGGGGTTTTGTGCCGGTAAGAGTTTTCTTACAGCAGTCTTGTTTACAAAAGTCTTTTTGTAATCAGGGTATTTGAGAACACTGATGGGAATCTCTTAATTTAATTCTTAGCTGTTTTAATTGAATTTACATATACACAGAGATTAAATACTGACAGTATTTATGGATAAAAAGGTAAAGGTTGTTGTCTTTGAAATTTTATTATTAAACTTTGTATCAGAAACTCTAAAGAGGTGAGCTGTGGAAAAAAAAAATGGTTTCGTTGCTTTCTGGAGCATTTTAATTGGTTATTCCAGTTTTAAGGGATCCTTTTGTAACATATGGGAGCCATATCTCTTTGCAGCATCTGATTGTTGTGAGAGTTTGAGAAGCCTGATCAGATAAGAGAGGGAGAAAACTCTTACCAAGATTCAGTGAATTTTGTCAGCAGTTGCCTATCTGGTCCAGTGTGCTTAAGTTTCTCAGGAAAAAGCAGAACTGTCCTATAATAAAGAATAAAATATAAAAAGGAAAAATTTAGCAAGAGGCAAATGCACGCTCTCTTTTTAGCATATTTTTGGGAGCATTTTTGAAAGGATTAATAGGCCATCTTATCCATAAACAACAAGTGGAAGACTGCTGATTTGCTCCTTGTGTGGCAGAGTGAGAGAATGGTTAGCGCAAATGATTTTCAATTTTTATCACTTTTGCTGCTGAGGAGTCTGGATTACTGCAAGCATGGCTATTGTCAGAAAAACAGCTGTGGGAAAACAGCATCTTTTGAACCTGAAAGTTGGAATTTAGGGACCATTTATTTTTTGAAGATACACATTTGGATTTAGATTGCTGATGTGTGGGTGCAGGCTGGTATGAGTTGGCCGCTGGTAATGTAGTAAACTGCCTGTAGGAGTAAGGAGCTGGCAGTACTCTTCAGGTAGTAATTGGTGAGGCTTGTAACTGGAGGCTGTGCATGAGTACTTTCAGTTTTTTAAAAAACCTAAATGAAATATTTGGTTTTGCCCTTCTCAGCCCTGTGTAGCTGAAATGTCTGTATAAGACTGAGCTGGCTTCTTCTCTGGCTGATGCATTGCAAATGTGTTTAGAGGGCAAATATGTTTAGAGAGCAGACTCTGGTTTTAACCCATGCAGTGACGTAGGGTTGACTTTCTGCTTGCATCTTGAGTAGACTGGTCTGGTAGTGAGGAAAAAAAAGTGTGTAAAAATAATAGATTTCAATAGGATTTCTTGAAAAATGAGTCCTGCAATTCTTCCACACCAGGCTGTGGGGTTTTGTTGCTTTGTTTTTTAACAGAGGACTATGCGAGTCAGATGTGGACTTTTATGTACTATTCCGTTAATTAAAGGTTGCAAGTACAGCAGCTCACTACGTAGTATGAGGTTAGAAAACCTGTACTTGGAAGGTGAGCAGTCTCATTTGTGTTTGCAGCAGGTAGCTTGTATCACTGGAGCCCTGGTTCTGGGCTGTTCTCTGCCCTTCTCCCTGGTGGTCGGTCCCCAGGCAGAGATGGAGCCGTGCTCCCTTGAGGCTGTGTTGACATTGCTTCTCCCTTGGAGGTGTCGCTGCTGTGTAGCCAGCTGTTTGTCTGTGTTCATCAGTCAGTGCTACAGTCCTCAGGCTAGTGAGAAAGTCCCACTTGTGAACTGGCTTGAAACCAGTCTTTAACATGGCAGGAGTGCAGGGAAGCAGTCCTGCATCACTGGGTGCTGAGTTTCACTCAACTCCCATATGTTAAAAAGCACAGGTGTAATGGGATCCATGGGGATCCAGCACTGCCATGCTTTCACATTGAAGAGTCAAGAGCATGCCCATGTGATATCACTGTTATTTTCTCAATAGTCTTTTGACCATAGTCGTCTTTTCCTCTAGAATAAGAATACTAAAAATGGATTTTGTGTTCTTAAAAAAAGCAGTCTCAGAGAAAGAGAACTCTGGGTGATGGTCAGAGCCTTGGCAACTCCTCAGGAGCCCTGGGGGACCCCTGGTCCAGGGGCCCTACTGAGGCTCATCCCAGCACCAGCAGTGCCCAGGCTGCGTGAACGGGATGCCTGTACTTGTCTCTGCTCTGAGGAGAACCTCAGTGCTGTCCTGTCACCAGCCATGTCCCCTGCAACATCCATCCTGCTGTTACTCCTGCAAAGGTAGCCCTGCTCCTGCTGCTTCTGACCGAAACCCAGCAGGAGATGCTGGGCACCACTGGGAAGCACTTTTGCAAATTTCTGTCTTCAAACATCAAGTTCCTTTGTATTGATTACCTTTTGTAGCTATTCAGAGGCAGTTGGTGGCTCCCTCAATGTCACCTTGAAGACCATGGCAGCCACTACTGCATATTGTGCAAGATGTTTTTGTCTTGTTGCACTGGAGTAGATGGAAAGCTTCAAGATGTGCTATGGGGAAAAATCCTGAAGTATCAGAAAAGATTAAGTGAGCTGACAGTATAACAAGAGCAACAGAACTTGTAAATGTGGATGTTCAAAGTGAATAATGCAGTCAGTGAAGCGCAGCTAAGTAATGATGCAGAGGGCTTTTTGATTAGAGATTGGAAATTTCTTCTTTAAAGGAGCATTGCTCAATTAGAAGTTAATTGGAACTGTTTTCTTTTGAGGTATACGTATATAACCTCAGATACAATGTAAGCGGTGAATATGGTCTTTATATACTTCAGGTGAAGCTGAAACTCAGATGACTTGACATACGCTTTCAACTCTGCTTTGTAATTGCCTCAGTTACGTAAAATCTCTATCTAGTTCCTGCTCCGTTCAACTGAGTGATGATGCCTAGAGTCTAATTCTTCAGTGTCTTGAAATCATGACTAAGTAGTGCTGTGAAAATTTACATTTGTGTAAATCATTCAAAGTGCTATAATTTTAAAGTGTTGAGATGTGAAATTTTGATACTTTCAGTGTCAAAGAAATTGAGCTTGTCAAACAGCTTTAACGCCAGTGTCTGTAAAAGGCAGTGTTACTTCTTAGGCTAGGAAAGGTCACCACATGGTTCCACAGCAGCATTTAATTTAAGATGTAACTTGTCAAACGTGCTGGTGGAAGAAAAATTTAAAGTATAACATTTGATTTAGAATGTAAAAGTGTCCTCCCCGCCCTTGGCCCCTTTTTCAAAATTTAAACTAATGTTTTTGCCTCAAGCCTGGCATGCCCTGGAAGAGATAAGGCAGCACTTCTCTGCTTCTAGAAGATAGTTCAGGTTAAGGTGTATTATGCACAGTTGTTTGCCTGTGTGCTGCTGCCTTTTCCAGCTGTATCATGAGAAGAGGTGAGGCGAGGTGCTTACTTGGTTCCTGACTGCTGCCCGGCAGTTGGGGAAAGCCGAAGGTGACTCCGAGTGTCTGCAGGTGACAACTGGCAGTGGTGCCTGACAGTCTGAATCTGCTGATTCCAGTGGGGTTTCATTCTGTCTCACAGCAAGCTTTTTATCCTCCTTGGCTTTTTGTTTGAGGGTACCTCACAAGATCCTAGAAAAGTCTAAGCTGTTTGTGCAGAGAAAGGAAGTGTGCAAAGTATTAATTTGTCTTTTATTGGATGGGAGGTCATGATAAAAGATCGGAACAGGGGGAGAAGTGTGTGTGTGTGTGTGATGACACCAACCACAGCTCTATGTGATTTGACAGTCTTGCTCTTGGGGCATTGTGCTTTAGACAAGTCAGTTCGAAGCATTTAATTGTCTGATACGGTGTGATAAAATCCTGCACTGGGTGAAGTCTGGAGCATGGTTCCCTCTGTACCATTGTAATCTGTCTGCCTTGGGGGTAGTTGTGTGTCCTTGCCTCGCTCCCCTACAGCCTGGAGTGATGCTGACTTTTGTTTCTGTCCTTTCAGTGTGAGTGACGAGAGGCAAACATGGCCCAGGCGCCTGTAGATCCAAGTAATGTGGAAACTGCTGACCCAGAGGAGAGTTCTCCAAATATGATAGTCTACAGAAAGGTAAGGATTTGGAGCTTTTTGCAGAAATCTCTTATGTGGTTCCAAGTTTAATCACACTAAGCATAAAGCAGCTGGCATACAACCTGTTAGTACTTTTTTTTTTTTTCTATTTTCCTATTGTGGTTTTGGTTGCATAACTTAACAGTTTGATTCTTTGCAGGCAGTTGTTATTAATTCTTGTTGCATTGCTTAAATTAAAAAAGAGAAACATCTCAAGTGCTAGTGAAAAATTAATTAGACAAAGGTAAAATAACAGAAACACATGATGTCAAAGAACATTCTTTTGCCATGATAAAATGTCTTATTATGAAGTACTTTGGAGGTATAGTAAGAAAGCAACCTATTGACCCATTTGCTAAGGCGTTGTTTTACTCTGGGGTAGGTATATCTGAGGTTTTTTAATTTAATGAAATCATGTAAATACATTTTATTTAGCCTGTAAAATATTTCTTATGTAGCATGTGAAAGTTGTGTATGGTTCTGACAAAAATAAAATTTCTTGCATGGCTCAAGTTACAATTCTGTTAATTTAAGAGCTACAAGACTAGCTCAAATCAAGTTTCCTTGTGTAGTATGATCCTGAGTAAAATTTATATTTTCACTCATTTTTACACCTTACAAAATAGCTATAAATAACTAAAGTGCGTTGGGTGTACATGGTACTCTTTTCTTCTTGCATGATTGCAATCTGGATGACTTTCATATGCTGAGAAAATAATTTAGGTTTCATGTAGTGCGTAAGTTGTTTAAAGTGTTACTTTTTGATAACCATAACTTTGGTTTAGTTGTTGCATATTTGGTTTGGAATCTGGAATTGTTAACATGGGAAAATTTTCTGGGTAATGTGTAGGCTTGTTTGTTTTGAATGTGTTATGAACACACTTTGGCTGCTAATTTGGAAGTAGCAGTAGTCAGCTAGTCAGATTATCTTTTTAGAACCTGTTTGTGAAGAGGTCCAACACCCCAGCAAGTTGAAGCAGATATGGGAAATGAAAGAAGTTTCTAGTTGCATGATCTAGATGATTAGGGCATTAAATCTGTGACTCTGCAGAGAATCCACTTACCTATTCTTGAAACCATTGTTTTATTTGAATGTGCCTTACTTCCTATTCATCTCATGGCATTTCTGCTTATGGATTTCTCCATTTCTTTTCCTTTTTAATGTTTCATTATTGTTGCTGTAGAATGAGCCTTGCAAGTTCTGTGGTGTCAAAATACATAGTTCTCTTCTAGAAGAGCATGCCCCATGTGTTGTTCAGTAATACTCTGTTGTGTATTGTCAATATTAAGCTAACACGCGTCTGTCACGTTTTTTTTTGTTGAGGGTTTTTGTTGCTTTTATGAATAGGGTTAATATTGCCTATTCTCAAAAGTTAATTTCCATTGGTGATTAACTTTCTAAATCTAATTTACTGTTTGATATTAGTTATATGTGTTACACATCAATAATATGTTCCTTAGTGTTGAGAAATCATATGCAAAATCTGAGAGAAGACTTTTATTCTCTTGATTATCTCTCCTCTCTCCAAATGAGTGTTTAGCTCTTCATCTCTCATTTCCTTTCAAATGCCTTGATTGCCAGTAATGAGTGAGGAAAGCACTGCACTGGACTTCCTGAAATACAGAACACAATCTGCCAACATACTGTACGGTCCAGGGTTGGTATTGTGTCACAGTAAAAGAAAAGGTTTGCTTCTCACAGCAGGGATCTTGAGATGTAATTGTTGATTCCCCTAAGGAAGAAGAAAAAGGGTGGGCCACAGTAATTCCTGCTCTGTCAACAATTTTATTGCTTGTCATAACTGTCATGTTTGTGGGTTTTGAGAGAGGAAAGACCTGCAAGTACAACCCTGAATTGTTCATGCCCTCTTTACTGAGACTCGCTGAGGTCTATCTGAAGTTCATAAGCCAAGAAGATGGTTGTGGTAGCCTGGTTGTCTTTATATCACTGGCAAGAGATACACACATCTAAAGAACAAATTAGATCTTAGGCGGTGCTGAGTGTCCCTTTGGAGCAACCTCTGCTGTTTTGTTTATGGAGAAAGGACTAGAACAGGCTATTCTCTTTCCTTACGTAGGTAAAACTTAAGTGGGATGGATTTTGGCCATGCAGAACAAAATAAACTAATTTATTTTGACTCCAATTACTTTATGATTCTCTCTATAGACTCCTGCAAGCAAATGGATTCTAACTGCTTTGATTGCTACAGCAGATGGTCTCAATGAGATAAGACTTATTTTCTACCTTCATGGTTAACCTTTTGGGGGCTGATATTTATCAAATTGTGAGGCATGTTATTTTTTAAATCCTAAATGCTCAATGTTGCCCTGCTGTTCTGGAAGACGTCAGTGTGTGGATTAGGTAATGCAGATGCATTCATTAGGGTAAGTAGTCTTTAGGGTGTGATATGCCTCACCCTACACTTGTTAAAACAAATTGTACCCTAAATTACATGAGCTTTATTGACTAGGTCTCCATGGACTATCATGAGTGCCTCAACACCTAGCTGTCAGGTACTTGTGTCATATGGTAGACATCTATAATTAAGCAAGCTGCATCCCACTCCTAGGATCTGTGCTTCCTCTCAGCTCTCTGTATGTCTCAGTACTTAGCCCTGGGCTGGTTATAGGGCTATCAGTAGTGCTGCAGTAAGGATGTGCCTGTCATTTATCTTCTTTGGCATAGTGATACCCAATGAAAAATTTAAAGGCGCTGCAAAAAATTGCATTGCCATTTAAGGACTGCTCTGTGGGTAAAATATAGGAACCATCGGTCTGGCTGCATCTGGAGAAGATGCTGATCTATTTTTTTGTTGAGATTACTACTGGAAGAGTGGTATGCGGTGCTTAAAAAGACTGTTTGAAATGCGCTACCCTCCTTTTCGTGGGAGCAGGTAATGTCAATACACAAGGACTTCTGGGGAAGTGAGTGACATCCCAGTCCTCACTTCAGTCTGTGAGCGTTGTGTGGGTGCTGCGGCATGGAAGGAAAAGAAATGCAATAAAAAGTCAGTGAGAGGAGAATAACACACTCCAAGCAAACAGTAACAGAAAATACCAATTGATTTTTAAATGCCTGTCACATTCCCTTGAAATCCAGCCACCCTTGATTGCCTTTCTGGCTTCTAAGTGCTGGTTACTGTGTCCCAGGGGTTCTTTGGTTTATCGTTCCAATAATCCAGGTCTGAAAATCCACCTTCTTGCAGACTGTATTGAAGGACAGACAGTTCATGGACAGCTTCTGGCACCAGACCTATTAGTCGATCTATTAGCAAAATTTGGTGAATCAAATCTTGTTACAGAAAAGATGGTAGAAAATTGTCATGTCACTGAAATAAAAGAAAGATCAGAATATTTAGGTCTTGACTTAAGAACTGAAAATACCAATAAGGAAGAATTGTTTAGGAGCACCTGGGGAATATAACGGGTGAAAACACAGGAATGAAAATCTTGCTTAGATAGCAAAGTGTACTTGTTCCTGTGAGAGATCTCTTAGGATGGGGAAGAGTTTGCAAACTGTGGTGTTAGAGATGTTTAGAACCACTGTTAGCATGCATGCTCTGAGAAATATCAAAGGGTGTCTTCAAAAAAATGACCTGGATTGTCTGATGGTACATTTCTATCTCTGCTGAATTTGGGCAGACACATCTCCTATATCTGCTTGTTAACACCAGCACTTAGTGAGTTAAATTTTGAATTTTTATGGTTACTCATTGTAAATCTTTTGAACAAGCAGGAAAATCTAATTTCCAAAGGCAATTACTGTTCTAAGTAAATGTAATACAAACTTGCAGCTGCCGCAAGATGCTTTCAGAAAAATCTGAGTTGTTTGCTACCTTCAGTACTTGGCAGCCTTACCCTCTTTTAAAATGCTGATTTAAGATCTGAATTGTAATATTTTTTATTTTTTTTTTTTTTTTTAAAAAAAAGCAACCTTACATTAGCAGCTTTTCTCCAGGCAGATTTCAGGGTTCCAATTGTGGCAAATAGGTGGAGTGTTGCTGTCAGACCTGGTTCAACATGGTGATAGGGTGAGAAATGGGAGAACAAGCAGTTGTGAAGACAGATGTATGCATGCAAAAACTGTATGGACCACAAAGCAGAAAGATGGGGGAAAAGGCTGTTGTTAAAATTCACTGTTCAGATTAAAAAAAAATGTAATGCTGGTTTTGGGAGTTAGTCAGAAGACCAGACTACTATTTGTTTGCTCTTCCATTTTGCTAATAGCAATCTCAATATGACACTGTCTCAATAGCTGTCTCAATAGGACACTGTCCAAGCAACCAAGAGCAGCAAAAATACGAGGGTATAGTCCACATGATGACATTTTGCAAAGAAATACAAAGCTGCAGTGTGTTAAAATCAGATGGATTTCATGCATAGAACTCTTATACTTTAATAAATGAAAGCAGTCTGCATATTTTTTGAGGTTTCCTAAACCTTTCAAGGATTTATGCTGTTCCTAGTGAGAGGCAGCAGAACTTAAAATGCATTTCAACTGTGGAGTACTTTTGGCATTCTTTTTATTTGTCTCTTGAGTTATATTTTAAGATTCTGCTGCATGTAAAGAAAGGCCTTGAACCTTACTTTTGTACATGAAATCTGAGATTCTCACACAATTGCTTCTGTTTCAAAATTACAATGATAATGATAACATGAGTTGATAACACTGTAGACCTGTAGTCTTCAAATTTTAAACCAAAGATTTTTCTGTGCTGCTGTTGAAGATTACTTTATGGCATTTTATTTAATCCATCTTGCTCTTGACATTTCTTTTTTACTCTTGTTTCTAGACTAACAGCACTAACCCAGGATTAACTAGGACTGAATTTGAGACTACATATCAGTCCTTCAGGAATTGAAGCACACACAGTTTTTAATAAGTAACCCCAAAACTGGCGTTGTTAATGTTGAAAAATAAATTTAAACCCAGTCTCGTTACCAAGATGTGTTAATGTACGGGTTAGGCATCAGGGCAGCTTTAATTCTGCACTTCTGTA